CTGTAAGTTATTTTATGATAAGGGGGCGAGCAGAAAGGTCACCTGATGGAAAGTGACTAGCACCGCCTTCAAATAAGGAGTCTCAAGGTCCGGTCTCCGCGTGTATGTCCTTCCCCACAACTCAAACTATACCTAACAAATAACAGACAGATAAACACACTTTCGCATTTATCATATTAGTATGGATACGGACTAGCGCCAGTCAGCTGGTACCATCATTATCATTAACAGCCTTTAACAGTCCACTGCTGGACATAAGCCTCTCCTTAGAAAGGAGGTTTTGGCCTACTATACCACGCTGGCCAGACGGGTTGATATAGGGTTTGTTTCAAGTTTTCCTTCTCTTTGCAGTACTGTTGTCCTCTCTTACGAAATCCACGGGATGAATAGGGGTGGTGACATTCCGTATTCTTAATCCGTCACCACACGGACTACACTACAATATAATACTAATAATATACTAGCTGACCTGCCCAATTTCGTCTGTGTTTTTCAAAAGGATTTTCCAATATTTTTCATAAATGTCCCGCTCCTATTAGTCGTATACTATGACCTCCATCAATAAAAGAGCTATCTGACACTAAAAGAATTATTCAATTCGAACTAGTAGTTCCTGAGATCAGTGATTTAATTTACAGTGTACTTTGTATTGTGTTAATGTAGGTTTTCTATAAAACAATATCTGAAGAGATTGACTACACGACTTTCGTGAATTTTTTCTTTGTCTGTAACGTTTTAAATTAAGAACACTCTTAAAAAAAAAATGCGCTTAGAACAATATTCTAATCATCGTCTAATCATCACACACAATACATTTCTAATTATACCTACATATTGAAAAAATATATAGCAGCTGTGGAATTTTGGCGCCGTTTTTTTGGCACAGATGTTAAAACAATTTTACGAAGATATGCGAAATGCGTGCCGACGTGCAGTCTGGCAATTCGGAAGTTTTAAATGTAAAAATAGAACCTACGCCGATGTTGAGATTTCATTGAAGAAAACTTCTGATACCGAAAGAAATATTTAGGTTTCGGCGAATTGACATTAGACAGTGTGTTCCTTGATTTTCTGTTGAAAACTTTTAGTTTTGAAAATCTGTAACCACGCCCTTTAAAGCTAAAGTCAATTAATAGTTTTTTCATCTTCAACAGTCATAGTCATTTATTCATCAACAAATTACATTGTATTTCAAATATAATAATTAATAAAATAATAGTAATAGTATTACAAAAAAAAAAAAAAACATTAGTGTGTCATCATCAGTTATCATTCATGCAATTTCATTAGAATTTTGAAACAGTCATTTTAATATAATAGTAATAATTAAAAATGTCCAAATAATATAATGTCATTAGTTATCTTACAGCTAAGTATTTTGGATAATTTAATTCAGATAAATTCACTCTCTTGTTATAATTCATCAATAATATAAAGGCATCTGTCCAAAAGGTAAGCTTTTAATTTTATTTTAAAGGAATATAACGCGCTCTATATATCCTCAGGCAACCTTTTATCACAAATTAAACCCTTCCTATTGAACAGATAATCCAGTAGTTTTTTCTAGATTTTTCGTAAAATTATCGAAATTTTTGTCTGTCGGACTGCGATAGCAACATCGAGTATACAATATTTATTTATAATATATAAACATACTGTTAATAGGTTGAACTAAACTTGAAATCTCGATGTAGATTTTTTTTGAGGTTAATTCAAATTAGTGATTTTCTGTTTAGCATTTTTATCACCTTTCATTCAGCGTTAAACAAAAAATCTTTTCACCACTGATCTGCACCAACTTTGTAACCATTTTTAAACAAATATGGCAAAAGGAAACATGTCATATTTGGAATACTAATTGTTTATTAGTAGAAGAAGTGCACAAAAGCTAACTTTCTTAAACAATGTGTCAGAAAGTAAAAAATTACGTAAAAACGGCTCCATAATTGAGGTCTAGTATGTTCACATGTCATGGTACAAGTCCATACATACTATAGCCTTAATTCTATTAGATATAGTTTGCTTGATTGCTTGATGCCTAGAATTTACAACAGAATACCTGGGGCCATAAGAGAACTCCATCTACATTTATTTAAAGTTCACTTTAAAAAATATCTCATTAATAAATGTTTTTACACGATTGATGAGTTTTTAAATGACCGTGACACTAGTGTGCTTTGACGGTGACATTTCCATATTATCAATAATTTGACTTAACACCTTTATTTGACCACTTAATTATTGTTATTGTAATTGCCTGATATTTGACCAATAAAACTGATTGTCATTAATTTATGTATTGCATGTTCTGTAGGTATCAGTTTCTGACGAAAAGTTTTGCACGCCTACCCGGCAGGATATGATGAACCTTTGTTAATTGAATTGTCCAACCCTGTACTCATATTCATGCAAATAAATGATGATTATTATTATTATTATTGATTAAGTAACAATATTACGACTGTAAACATGTGCAATTAGTGTAAATAACAGCAAACTATACATAAGTAAATATTTCTAGTCAAGCATGTTTTTTTGATATCGACAAACAATTTAATTAATCTTACAAAGTACTTTTTTTAAGTGAACCGCACAGAACATAATTTTTCTGTACCTACCTACCTAAAATGTAGTTCAATGCGTAACAAACAAACCAACTCACATTCTCATCTATATAATTAAGTCAGATGGTTCCCCATTTAATAATTTTACTGTGCGTTGTACTCCATGTATTTACCACGAAGCACAGTCAGATAAGTAAGGCAATACGATTCAATATGAATGTATGCGCTCCCGCCGTTATCTTTTATGCGGAGGTAGGATTACCACAGCGAGATACCGTTAGGTATCGTATCTATCTAATCACGAGAGATCTTCATTTGTAAAGTACAAAATATTGTACAGGAAGTTTTCTTAATTATAATCAAACAAAGAAGGTTTATATAAGGTCTGGTTGTGGTAATACGACATAGGTATTTCGTAGTATTCATTTCTGGATTAAGATTTAATTAAAAAATATATCGTTGCGTACTCGAAATGATAATGATTTGACACATCTCACACATGGGCGTCTGATCTTAAATTAGGCAGAGGTAATACTATGGTAACCAGACTGCTGATAAACATACTTGTATAATTCTAAATACATACATATTTTTGACTAGCTGACCCGCGCAACTTCGTCTGCGTCTCTCAATAGTAATAAATTTTCTCCGTTTTTGAAACATTCTTCATTGGTGCTCCGCTCCTATTGGTCTTAGCTTGATGATATATAGCCTATAGCCTTCCTCGATAAATGTGCTATCTAACACTGAAAGATTTTTTCCAATCGGACCAGTAGTTCCTGAGATTAGCGCGTTCAAACAAACAAACAAACTCTTCAGTTTTATAATATTAGTATAGAAAAATAACATCCAAACACAGAGCCACGGATGGTACTGTTCATATAATTATTTTTTTCTGAGTAGGAAAGTAACAGGACAAAAAAGGCGAATGTAAAACTGCTGTTGGTACAGCGAGGATTTTGTCATCAAAGCCTCAATCAGCGCTAGCGGGATCCGTCTAATAATTGGACTGATGGACCCAGATATACAAGAACCTCGCCTTTCCGGAGGCTACCCTTTTTTTTCCGTGCGGAAATCCCCTCGGATACCACCTGTCGGCGGCATGTCGGACTCGAACCGACTAAAACCGCACGCCGTCTCGGGTACTAATAGCCGGGGAACCAGGTATACCCTAGAAAGGAAGTCCCTGGTCCCTGACATACCTCGGGTCATCTACAGACGAGTAGACGACCCCCCGTGTGGGAACCCCATGTTCCCTGTGCTCCCTGGAAGCGAGCGCGCGCCGCGATGACGGCGTGTACCCTACCGTGAGCGGAGGACGTAAGACCCGTCTGCTAAACGCGGCTACCTAGACGCTAAATGGAATTATGGGCGGTTCTGCCGGCAGACATATTGACAGTTGCTATTTGTGAGATGAGTGAGTGAGATTATTCACGTTTCGAAAGTTCGAAACCTATTCTCCAAACATCTTAGTTATGATATTAAGATATTTTTTATTTGATAATGAAATAAGCTGTCTTTTAACCCACCTGATGCCTGTTAAAACGCCTATTCAAAAGCAACATACACAGGCCTTAAACATTCCAGGATTATAGTTGTATGGAAAAAAGGAGCAGGCATTTCATTCCAGGCTTGGACGACTTAAACCACTCTGCCAAAGGCAAGGACCACAAAAGGGTTTAGCAGTCTGTCTGTCTGTGTCTAGCAGTCTGAATGTATCTACATATTTTATGATGATGTATATTAGATTAGACATAAATTACAAAGTTTTCCGTCAGCCTCTTTACTGCGGCCAGCGGCTTAGTCTTATCACTATCACTTACTCACATCCTGTTTATCAGTAAGCTTCTAGCAAAATGATTTGTCATTATTTTAATATTTAATGAACTATTATTCCGTGTACATTTTAAACTACCTGAATATAATTTTGAACAAAAAGTTTGTATACAATTATACTATCGTTTGTGTCTGACTTTGATTCAGATAATAATTAAAAGAAATATGGTACATTTCTTTTAATTATTATCTGAATCAAAGATTTACTAGCCCACATTTATTGAAAAAAATACCGGGTTCACCGAAATGTATTAATTATACTAACAACTATACTAATTTAATATTGCATACCCTACAACCTTCATCATAGAGTATTCGCAAACCTTGTAACCAGTAATAATAATAATAATTTCAGGGACCTCACCCACGGTCGTCTGTGTCCAAATCAGAAAGGCCCAATGCTACGGTAACTAGACTTCTGGTTAACAAAACTTCGTCAGTTTCCTTCAGCATATAACAATTGCAAATATATATTATTCAATTAATATATATTAGCTGGATGCGAGAAACCCAAAATCGATCTAAGTGGCGTGCAATGGGAGAGGCCTATGTCCAGCAGTGGACTGCGATGATGAATTAATATAAATTTGAGCTGGCAAGATGGGGCTTGGCTACAACAGCTGCTGGCCCATTCATACTATTGTCACTGCCTTTGGTCCTGAGTGAGCTAACGTACTCGTGACGCCCACTAGGAAGGTGAAAAACACCATTGTTAACCAATTAACCAAACACCAATTGGAATGGAACGATAACGAGCCCTGAACCGATAACTGTTCACCATCAATGCGACAGACAGCCCACTTTGCAGACGATGTCTCAAAGCAGATGAATCGGCCGCCCACATAATCCTAGAATTCGAGAGAGTGGCCACACAACGAACACAAATCGCTGCTAGAAGCCTGTGAACGCCCCAGGAAGCTTCTATGCTACTGGAAGGAGGTGGGTTGGCTCACCTAGCCAAGCTTACCAAGACGCATAAAGGACTCTCCCTGAGCCTAAATGCGGCAATCGGAGCCCACCACCAATAGCAAAAAATACCAGCTTAAAAGTATATGTATTTAAACAAAATTACACATTTAAAATTCGTAACGGTACACTTTTTACAACAAAAATCATCACATCACAACACAGCAACAATCATCATCATCATCACACAATCATCATTTTATTTCAGAATATTTATGTTTATCATATAAAATTTGATAAGTTTTGTTCCATTATTGATTACTTTTAATATCATATTTTCAAAACTATCTTCTCTTCTCATTTTATTAAGTATATCTTCGCACCCATCACGAGTTATTTCTGCATCACTATATTATTGACTGGCAGAGACCACCTTTAGTCCACTGTCCTACAATATATGCATATAGATTTAAAAAAGATTTAAAAGACCAAAAACACAACCTATAAAATTACTTCCAAAACTACTAAAACATCATGTACTGGACACGAATAACGTTCGAAATATTGTTATTTAAATTCGAACACACTTATCAGATCATGAATCAATCACCAAGTGACAATTGTAATTAACTTTCGCGGCTTCCAGAACAGTGAAATTTCATATCAGCAACAGATCACGCCAATTAACATTATTACTCGGAGTCCGTTCGACTCAGTAAAAATCCATAACTTTGCATATTTACTAACGTCTCAGCATCGCGTCAGATTCAGAGCTATGATTCAACAAACTAACACTTTCGTTTAGTATTCACGGAGGTATTTCGCGCTATTGGACTATAAAAGATTATCTCTGTAGGTGCGGGCGTTTCACAACAATTACCTAACGCAGCCGCCGCTCCCGGGGAAAATTATAACAAATCTACCGAAACTCAGGTGTGAATCATTCTCTGCATTGATTTTTTTGCTGCAAACAAAAAAACGAATCTGTCATTCGTAATTCTCTTGGACAATTTGTTGCTTTTTTGCTATACTCCGAATAAATATTTCGGCTTAGAAGGTTTTTTACGTGCGTGAATAGACAATAACAAAAAATGCTAAATGACTATACTTTTTTTCTACACTACTAGATCCAAATTGTTCAGGGTTGTAAGAAAAATAACAGCCAACGTTCGAAAACAAGCCAGATTTCGATTATTTACAATTAAACAAATTCTGAAAGGGCTATGCATCAAAAGCTTTTGCCAACATGAAAGCCCGAAGAAGTCTAACGTTCTTTGCCAGATCTAAGAGATAGACATCATAGTCATCATCTTTTCGACACATTACGTAAAATAATACGGCATGTCATGTCTCAAATCGCGAATATCACGAGCCAATTACTGTAGTAGAGGGACACACTCCTACTAGTGCCCATGAAGGTGTAAGGAATGGCCATGCAAAACGCGAATATCGCAATAACATTAATAATTTTTGTGATGTCGCATCGCAGGATCATCATTTCCAGTACGGACGTACTGCCAAAAATGAGATCCAATATATCTCTGATTTAAATTTCATAAATTATTATAAAACACAGAAGGCTTGGATTTTTTTATTAAGTTCTTGAAGGTGTATGCCATCGGTGAACTTTCATTTTGTGTAGTTTATGAATTATATATTGAATAAGAAACAGTTTTAAAAAGAAAAGGATATACCTACTGGCATGGCATGACTAATATTAGTCAGATAAGAATTACAGTACATTATAAATGTATCATTATTTCCTTATTTTTAATTTAACCAAAAAACTAATTGGAATTTGGATTTTAACCCCTAAGGGGTGGAAATTATTCTTGAAATTTGAAAAGGACTAAACGGGTAGTATAAAATTTCAAAGATCTTACAAATGGGTTCGTAAATTACGAAGTTACGCAGGTAAGAAACATGAAGCGGAATTAAGATACTCCTCCTTTTTTAAAGTCGTATAAAAAAGGGGAACGACTAGTAGTACAATTAGAATTGTCGTTAGGAGTACAGGGTAGACCAACTGCAAAGTTTAAAATTCTTTGCACATCAAGTTTTATATTGGTTTAATGATTAACTGGTGCTCCATTACTCTCCTATCCTCATATTTACAGAAATATAGCACTACATCAGAAGTACTGGTTAAACGTGATCAACAGTGGAGGAAGATGTATCCTTATGGCGCTAGCGTCCCATAAGACATCTACTTAACGTATTTACAGTTAAAACTTAATCAATCGTTAAAAATAAATGAAAACGCGAGGAAGTATGATATTTATTATATGCTTGCTGACCCCTCTTTCAAACCGCTTACTTAAAGGCCTTGCTTAAATTACATAACCCTCTTGAACGAAGCGCGGGGAGAGGGACGCCCTAACAATACCGGGCGTTATCGAGCGACGTGCGTCCCTCTCGCACGACCCTCTCGCTCATACACTGCGTACCAAGACGCCGGACATGACAACCTCGGGTGAATTTGATGTACACCATTCATTGCCGCCCCACAACATGCACATTATAAAACTATGTAGGTGAACCACCGATGTATTTGTAACAATGAGACAGCTGTTTAAAAAGACATTGATTTTAGCTACCCGGCGAAGGCGTGCGGTTTTAGTCGGTTCGAGTCCGACATGCCACCGACAGGTGGTATCCGAGGGGATTTCCGCACGGAAATAAAAAAAAAAAAAAAAAAAGTGTCACGTGCGATGTAAATTGTTATCCAATACAGATTAAAAGAGACTCTAGAGAGAAAATAATATCTTAAATAGGAAAATGTTGGCGACATTGCTATGCAAGGTTGTCTAAATGTTATTTATATTAAATTTGTTTTAAAATAAATATTTCTGCGATATTTAGTTGAAAAATTGAAGCCCAAAATCGATCTAAGTGGCGTGCAATGGGAGAGGCCTATGTCCAGCAGTGGACTGCGATAGGCTGATGATGATGATGATTATGATGTTTTTTTTTTTATAATAACTTACTAAGTTTATTAAATTAACTTACTTACTAGTTGTACATAGGCGATAGTGGATAGTCGACCTTCGGGTGATACTAGTTAGTAGACATGCTGATTTCAACTGGGAGCGCATTCCAGAGAAGAACTGACTGTACATAGAAGGAAGAATTGATGAAGTTGGAAGTGAGAGGGGGTAAAGAAGAAGCATATTATTTGTTGACTGAAGATTTCAGTCATGATTGGAGCATAAGAAACGGATATTTTGTGTTCTGCGTTATCATTACTCTGTTCTCTCTACCACCACTCCTCAAAGAATGAGATATATATACCTCCTACAGTGAGGCACTTTTCACTAAATGTTATGTACCAAAACAAATACACAACATCGCTGGACCCAGCCACTAATTATAAAACCATGATCTATGCAGAGCCACCAAGGTGGGCTTAAAGTTAACATCCGTAAAAATTGTAAATGAACTCATTAAACATAATATATTACTGATTGAATTCAAAAATTGCATAACTGTGTAGAAAAAATAATTTTATTTTAAAAATAACTTGCAAAATAAGGCTTATGTTTTTTTTTAATATGAGAAGGTATACCATTAGCAAGCGTTACAATAAATAATTTAGAGTAGTATTGGGAAAGTATGGTGAAGAAAAAAAAATTGAAATAGGGAAATAACACTATTTTTTAAGTTTTCCAAGACATTTTAGTAGTGGTCCCAATATACTACTCAAAAATAATTATTCTATCAAAAGGGGAATTCCGGACCATAGTCCCGGTCCCATTAACCCCAGGACCATTTCATATCTATACTACAGGTATTGTTTAAAACAAAATATAAACAAATAAAGAATTATATCTCAACCATAATCCTACCATGATCTCACAATGTAAACCAACATGATTAAGATACTGTAACAATGATAAACACCATTGTATGTGTTTATGTAGGCACTACATTTTTTCGAACCTTTTGGCAACACATGCACGAACTATATACTATATCCAAACAAAGAAGAACTAGTAGACCAACGAAGGCCTCCCACACGAAGAGCGAACTATCCTGGTCTGTGCCACTTTCCTCAAGTCGTCAGTCTATCATGTCAACCATATGCATCCACAAACCAAACAAACACTAATTGATAGCTTACAGCATCCCACTAGTAGACCTGGACCATTCCCAATGTGCAGCACACTACACGGTCCCTTATCATTTAGTTGTGTCAATAAACATATATAATAATATAATATACCTCACACATTTCACACACGGCTGTCTGATCCCAAACTAGGCAGAGCCTGTGCTATGGTGACCAGACTGCTGATAAACATACTTATATATTTTTAAATACATACATATTATAGATAAATTACACCCAGAAACAGAACAAATGATCATGTTCATCACACAATATTTGTCCTGGGTGGGAATCGAACTCACGACCTCCGGCTTAGCAGTCAGGGGCACTAACCACTCGACCAACAGGCCCAACTTTGGATTGTATAGAGAACTGCATCAGAAACTATATTTTTGATATAATCTCTCACTCACTGACAATACCATAACTATGTGGTCATTGTTTACAAAGTTACATTGTTTAAAAGGACAACAGGGTAAAAGTATTCCTCGGTTAAGATAAACAAATAAACCCAAATTATGTAATATAGAAACTCTAGGAACTGGGGGCCATTAAAATAAAATCTTACTAAAATTCTCAAGGCGAAAGTTTGTATGGATGTATCGATGTTTGTTACTCTTTCACGCAAAACGGCTGAACAGATGTGAATGAAACTTGGCACAGAGGTAGATTATAGACTGGAATAGCACATAGGCTACTTTTCATTGCGGAAAATTGTGGTGGTAGGTAACATTACAGTAATATAAATAAATATTTTTAATGAAAGATATATAATCTTACTTTTCCTCTAAAAGGGTACCATAGATGTCTCTAACTACGAAAGTCTTGACAGTGATGCTTAAGTCAATTTTATGATTGTGTGAAATTTCCCCAATTCGGTCCTAAATTAGTGGTTGGTCATAACCATAAAAAAACTGTATACCTTTCGTAAATACACAGTACTTTACCAAGGGTACAAACACTCTTTGCCAACCCAAACCTTCATGTACTGATCGTTGAGTACAGCTAAGCAAAACTATGTGTCTAGTGTTGTTTAGCAGCTGGTCTTTCTAAACTCTAGAGGAGCTCCTTCCAATGGCGATGTTTAAGTTCAAAACTGCTGCGTTGTACTGTTTTATACAAACTGTAACATGACACTACCACACTACAATAATAAAAGTAGTATTAAAACCTTGAATTTAATTGCTACATATTAAAGAGAACCAACAAAAATATTGCAGACTAGCTGAGACCCTCGGTGTTACCTGCGTTTGTTGTTATAACCGCGAGCAACGCTGCGGGGCGAAGCTAGTCTAAAAAAAGTAGCTTAAGTTACTCCTTATGTCATCAGCTATCTGCAAGTGAAAGTCCCGTCGAAATCGGTCCAGCCGTTCCAGAGATTACTCGGAACAGACAGCCAAAAATTGAATTATTATTTTGGCATATGTACCTGTAAATATTACAAACAGACACTCCAATTTTATTTATTTGTTTAGATATGTAGTTAATTAAAACTTTTTAGCTCAGCTTTCAGTTTCATAATACTTGTGATAAAGGAGGGGAATACAAACAAACAGGCAGCCTGACTGAAAGTTACTACTACCTTCAATTTATCAGGCACTAATGCATTGCATCCCATTGAAATGGAAGTACAGCCTTTTCTACTTTGAACGTTTAGAGGTACAGAAATTAATTTCACAGATTATCAAAACTAACACAATTATCTAAGAAGTGTTCATTCATCAATATTTTAATATACTAAGTAATTACAGGATGTGCCTGTTGGTCTAGTGGTTGCTAAGCTAGGGGTTGTGGGTTTGATTCCCACCTATGACAAATATTGTGTGATAAGCATGATCATTTGTTCTATGTCTGGGTGTAATTTATCTATAATATGTATGTATTTAGAAATATTTAAGTATGCTTATCAGTAGTCTGGTTACCATAGCACAGGCTCTGTCTAGTTTGGGATCAGACAGCTGTGTGTGAGATGTGTCAAAAGATTATTATTATTGTAGTATTCGGAATCAAGCTGTAATTACAATTAATACTAAATTGTTTAACTGTGATTTTTATTTAAAAAATGTCACAGATGCCTATAAACTGTGACAAAATAAATATATCTCAACAGAAAAAAAATATTAGTTAATGTTTTGTTATTAAGTTCCAATATGGAATGTCGAACTTTACTTGTTCTCTGTTTTTAGAATATCTGAAACTGCTAATAAGATAATTTGAGTTCACAACAATCATATCAATGCCTCAGTGTCTTATTAATCAGTAGTTATTGTTTATTTACAGTACACTAACAAGTATAGTTTACAGGAAGTCCTACAATACCCGACTCTTACTTTTATCGAATATCACAACATCGACCTGCACATCAGTTTCAAAATTTCAAAATATTTTATATATGTACATTGTAACCAACATATTATATTGCTATTGATTCTACGATAAAACTACGTCACCCGAAAAACTAAAAGCCGCATTCCACAGCATTAAAATATCGCAGACAACACGGTTTATAATAGTGAAAATAAAATTTAATAATTCAAAATGCCATTGGATCTATTTTCGCTTATCACAGTGTCTACAATTAACTTATAAATAAGGACTTACCCCGATTGAGATGCTGGACGCCGTTGCAATAAGTTGCTGATTCTTCATAAAACACAATTTTCACGACAAATTCGACATTAATCTTAAATTTATTCAATATTTTTGTGAGTAGACGTACGTCGACAGAATGACGACTTTTGACATTTATGATTTATTGCCATCATAGAAATAATCATTGCCATTTAAAATAAAAAGTACGTAACGTAAGAAGCATCTAAACGTTCTAAGAAACTAAACGTTAGTAAGAATAATTAACTCGTCTTACTTCTATCTTTCTTCTTATGCAGTTTGTTTTTATTGTTACTATAGCTACTTTACTTTAAAACATCTACCTATTAATTTAAATTTTTAATCATTTTCTTCTTTAATAATTGGATGCCCAATTCAAATCACTTGTCAAAATGTGACTTTTGAGATAACGACATTTTAATACTTTAATTGTCAACTGAAAAAATACCTGTTGATAAAAATATATTACAAAAAATGACCTGAAGATGATACTTAGTGATATTACAATTATAAATGTAACAACTTAAGAATTTATGTGAGAACATGAAATAAGTCCTCATAAAAGTATATTTCCGACTCGGGTACAAATTCTAATAACCGTTTTATCTTGCAGGTTAGTGCCTTTGATAGTCGTAGCAGGTATCAGGAATTTCATTGATTAATCTGCTCTAATCTTGATAGTTCATATACAAAGAAAATTTCGGTTTATCTTGCTCCAGCCATTACTCCGTGGACAAGTACCCTGGTACTGAACTTTCAAATCTGAAAATAGCAACACCCATACATGTAATTTGCGCGAGCAGCGTGTACAACTTACGAGCAAGTAACTTATGCATACTACTAACGCAAATAACCCGCGTCTTCACCCGCTCTTACTACTTGCAACTTGTAGAAGCACCTTAAAAGGCAAGTTTTTCGGGAAATGAAATCATAACGTATGTGATGGTTTCTCACCTTCGACTTTAGAGTAACTTTTCAAAACGCTTCTGATTTCCTTTCATGTGCACTTTAAAGTTGTTTTACTTCCATGAAATCTTTAGCTAATTCAGCAGATTTCTGCTGAATTAGTAATTAATGTAAACTTTGGACCTTCCACACTTCTTCGACTTATGGGTTTTAATAAATTGGATTTCTTCTTTTTTATTTTTTTAATAAATTGCAAAAGGCACTTAGAATTTTCCCCGAAAAACTTCAAATTTACCAATCGAAAGAGAATGAATTAATGAAAACCGGCCGGTGTTACTAACTCAAATATGACGAAATTGGACCACCTCATTATTGCAATATTTACATAAAAAGAAATGTAATTAATAAAAAAAAAAAAATTGCATTTAATAATTGGTTTATTTTTGTTTGTCAAGTAATTTCTTTTTTCAATCGAATTACTTATTAATCACCAATTTTTTTTTTAATGATAATCGAATCATTAAAGGCGGAATACATTTATAATACATACAGTTCTTGTTTGGTCAAGGTCTATCGTCTACTCGTCGGTAGATGGCCCGAGGTATGACGGGGCACCAGGGACTTCCTTTCTAGGGTATACCTGGTTCCCCGGCTATTAATGCCCGAGACGGCGTGCGGTTTTAGTCGGTTCGAGTCCGACATGCCACCGATAGGTGGTATCCGAGGGGATTTACGCATGGAAAAAAAAAGGTAGCTAATACATAATAACTTAAGAAATCCTGAGAAACGAACTCTTTACTTCTAAATCATCTTAAACAGAAGGTACTCTTCAAAGACCCGCAACGCACTCGTGACTCTTAAATTTGCAGTGCAGACCTATTTGCTAATAACATTTTGGCTGCATATGGGCATTATATCGGTGTAGGCCATATAGATGCTTCACTAAGGAAATAACTATATCAAGTGGTTGCTTAGCTTCGCTCAAACGCCTCCTTGGTATTAGGTAAGCAAAAAATCCCTGAACGACACCGATAATTATGGTCATTCTAAAGAATTTTACGGGTTTGGGCACTCCACAGACTATGTACTTATTTTATATAGCCTGTGGAGTCACAAACCGCACATAGTTTAATTTAGAAAATAATCAAGTAAAAATCTATATTATTAAATTTTTTCATACTTACATACTTTGTTATATTTTATTCATAAAGTAATGAAATGTTATTTCATCCAGCATTCATTATTTCCAATATTCCTGGAGATCTATAGTACAGGCCTCGGCTTAGTTTAGACTCCAGATCTCCCACAAATTGCAAATTTCTTGACAGTTTTCCTGTCAACTGTTAAATATAAAACAAAATGTAATTTGTGGAGATGAAATAAACATTTTTATTATTTTTTATTATTATTAATATTGTCTATGGTCAAATGGAAACGGATGTGAATCAAACAAGCCATTTTTGTTGTGCTTGATGACATGTTCTCGGTCTTTCTATTTCATTCGTTCACAAAATTGTTTTATTTCATTTGGTCGAAGAAAGTCGCCATTTTGTAGTCGTAATTGCTGTATTGTAAGTGGCGTGGAAATTTTATTAATCTAACTAGTAATCGGGTGTTTATTTGTTTGATTGTGCTTAATTTTAGTGTAGTTTTACATCCTAAAGGTAAGTATTGCTAAACAATCGCTATTGTCCCTATTTGCATTACCTTTTTCGGATCTACCAACTTCCATTGTCATGAACGCTGACGACTCACTTCGACAAATTATGTATGCGTTTCAGAATCTAAAATGCCGGGCGCCGGTACTTTCAAAATCTTCGTCGGGAATCTTTCCGATAAAACGACGGACGCCGATCTTAGACCGCTATTCGAAAAGTACGGTACGGTCGTAGAATGCGATATCGTCAGAAATTACGGTTTCGTGCACATGGAAAACGAACAAGTCGGCCGCGAAGCCATTCAGAACTTAAACGGAGAGATAGTCCATGGTCAAGCTATCAAAATAGAAGCGGCCAAGAGCCGAAAGGCACCTTCGACGCCCACCACCAAAATATTCGTCGGTAACCTAACGGACAAGACGCGCGCGCCCGAGGTCCGCGAGCTGTTTCAGAAGTTCGGCACGGTCGTCGAGTGTGATATCGTTCGTAATTATGGCTTCGTGCACTTGGACGCGTCGGGCGATGTCAACGAAGCTATCAAAGAGTTGAACGGTATGATGGTCGACGGGCAGCCCATGAAGGTGCAGTTATCAACGAGCCGCGTCCGTCAGCGGCCGGGCATGGGCGACCCCGAGCAGTGCTATCGCTGCGGTCGGGGCGGTCACTGGTCCAAGGAGTGCCCGAAGGCGCTGGGCCCAGACCGGAACATTTTACGCGATCGAGCTTTCGGCCGCGACCCGTACCCTCCACCGCCACCGCCGCCGTTCCTTCGCGATCGCATGATGGGAGGATTTGGGGTAACGCGCTCTCCTTCTTACTTTCCGAATCGTCGGTTTCTATCTAACCGTATCCGATGCATCACGTAGGCCGAGGCGTAGAGACAGTCTCCGCACGCGGTACCTATCTCGGGCCGAAGTACACACATAGGCCGGACTCGGTGATGCTACAGTAGCTATTCAAGCCCTTTACCCTAATAGTCTGATTTTTGAATACATGAGTTATTTTTATTAAATCTGCACTGAATCTAATACTTTGTTTAATGTGAACAGGATCCTTATGATGGATACTACGACCGTGCAAGATTCGACTCGCCGCGCGATTTATTCGAGCGGAGGTATCCTGTGGGAGCTTCCCGCGGACTAGACATGGGAGCATCTCGCGGAGGTCGTGGTGACTTCGTGTCTCCGCCTCTGCGAAGGGAGCCAATGCCGCCGATGCCGAGTTTGCCACCAATGCGCAGCGGAATGGGATCTATGAGGTCGTCGTATGATGCTATGTACAGCAGGCGAAGTCCCCCGCAAGGGCCTCAAATGTCCCGGGGGTGAGAAACTCACTTGGCAATGTTGTTGTGTTCTTTGGGTCATAGTACTTTATATAAAATTGGTACTTGCTATCAAGTAGAAGTAATATTGGTATTCACTTACAAATCTGAAGTGAGACTGACATTTCAGTAATCTTGTAACACAACTTACATTGTGCCCCCTTTACTTGCACTATCACAGTCCTAATCAAATCATTCATTAATAATTGTATGCAACTTTGTTTATCTTGGACAATTTCATCTATCTCAACTTTCACTTAGCATTTCCTAGCTTTCATATATTTTGGTTATTAATAGACAGGTACAATAAACCTTGAATTTTTCTATTACAGGATGTATGAAGATTTTAGCCGTGACACATTTGATGACAGAAGGTAAGCCCAATATAGTTTTTGCTATAATACATTAAATTGTTTCCATTTCGATAGATTCATGTGTTAATTTTTTCTCATGTTGAACACCAAAGGTATACGGATTAAGAGTGTCAGATTAACAATAATAACTTCACACACACACAACAAAGGCTGTCTGTGACATGTCCCACAATATGCAGAACCTGTACTATGGTAACCAGACAGCTTGTAAACATACTTATATATTTTTAAAAACATACATATTGATTGTATTCCTGAATCAGATTGACTGTTTAATGCTTATCATATAATATATATAATAATTATCATTACTCTCAAATTATTCTTCAGTTTGAGGTGGTTATGTTAAATTAGTTACTAACAATGACATTTGTTTGTTTTCAGACCTGGAATGCGAGGACCTTCACCTTCAAGAAGATACGCGCCTTATTAGTTAGATATAGGTTAGTTTATTGTCCAACGCTCAGTTGCAATCAATTGTAAATGAACCGCTGATCGTAGTGACCAAGTGTTAAGTACTTTTTCATAGAATATAAAATTATTATTTGTATAAGTTAGGGTGGGAGTGACTGACTCTGCAATTTCCACAAAGTGCGATAGGAATGGAAGTTAAATGGGATGTGTTTTGTGACTGAATGTATATAAGTGAAATAAATATCATTTTAAGTACAAAGTTATATTGTTTTTGTTTTTGCCATTACAAATGTTAAGTGATTCAGTATTAATTGTTTATTTTGTAAATAGTCATCATTGATGTGTTGAAACATTGTTTATTTTTGTAGTGTATTGTTGAAACATTGATGGAATTAAGTATGACCACCAAAAAATAATTTGCAGCCCTAAACAAAGATAGCCTAAAATTGCAATGGTTCTAGCTGTTTTAGTTCTGAATGATTATTCAACTAGCAAACTAATGCACTATTACTTCTGAGTTTTTAAGTTAAACCAGGATCTATTGAAGTTGTAGTTTTCTTTGTTAAAACCATAGAGACAGTTGCTTGAATAAAATAATGTTGGCACCACCCCGACATGGATAGATATTATTCGTGGTTATTTCTTTTAAAATCACCTGTAAAGTAGTACGTAGGTACCTTTCTTCTAGACGTGACAAATTCACAGTGAACTGTGAAAGACCGGTGATTTATCATTCGATTTTTTCGTACGTAGCTTAGGGTAACTACTTAGTTCTCGATAACCTGATTGCGGCTATCGTGCGGAGCGAAATTGCGTGGAACTCTGCCGTCTCCTTCTGCGAGCAAGTTATGCTCGCGAAGGAGATGGCGGAGCGGGACTGGGAGAGGTTTAGAACTCTCCCGGCCCGCCAGGCTCGGCAACGGGCCAGGTACCGCAGGCGCAGGAGGTCGCAGAACGACCTCCGTCCTCCATAAGCGCAGGCCTGGGGGTGACAGGTGAGGCCATCTGTCACCCTAGCAGAAGCAGGCCGGGGTGGCGGCGAGGCGCGCGCGCCCTTCCGGTAGCACAGAGAGAACATGGGGGGGGTCGTCTACCCGCCGTAGATGGCCCAAGATACGTCGGGGCACCAGGGATTTCTTTTCTAGGATACACCTGGTTCCCCGACTACTGGTACCTGAGACGGCGTGCGATTTTAGTCGGTTCGAGTCCGACATTGCCGGTACAGTTAAATATAGTAAAATAGCGTCTAACCTACATGCAAATCCGATTGGCTTATGCTTAAAACATACGAGGAAACTGAGGGTGTTCTTAAACTATCCATTCTCTAATCTTACTGTTAATCAGATAAAATAAAGCTATGCACACACACCTACACAAACATACACACACATACACAAACAAACATACACACACACATGTTATATGTATATTTGAATGCTTTCTTGTAAAATAAAATAATAATATGTAAATGTACGAATTAACGTTACTAGAATGATATTTATTGGCTGTGGCCTGATACCCATAACACAAGTTAGATCTTACCATGGGTAAACATAATACTTACTTTTAATACTTATGTCGTGACTTCCACATACGGAGAAACGAAAAAACATAATATACAACTTCCCAACATCAATCGTTGGGCCGCAGCCCGCCAGGCATGATCACCTCGCCTGGTCGGTGTGTACACTCCCACAGCGATGAACAGTAATGAAGTCTCCGCCAGTCAATAGCCTCGGCCTTAACAGGGATACTACACGCAGGTAGCGACCGCTCCAGCCTGGTTACCCTTACGGCCTCATCGGCGTCAAGCATAGCACACTGCACGGTCCACGCAAGAAGCGTATATCTCTCGCGTCTACGCAACAGCCAGCCACGACGGTAACCACCGCGACTCACTGAGGACTTCACGACGATTATGGCTTGTAACATTTTTGAGTTTATCGTAAAAAATTAGCAGAATTGATAAAAATACGAGTAAAGCTATTGCGCTAAAGATGGCACCCTACTACAATTGAACCTATCTAATGACGCAAAATAGAATAATTGATTCAGATTTTCCTAATCTGAATGAATTTTGAGGAAACACTGTTTTGGTCTAATTTTTGAATATATACCCACGTATATAGACAGATGTATACAACAACAAAAAACAATTTTAAACAATGTTTTAAATTAACTAATTTAAAACATTGTTTAAAATTGTTTGTTGTTGTAAACAAATACCTATTTGTTTACAAAAACAAACAAACAATTTTTACAAGATTACAAAACAATACAGCAACCAAATTTTATAGATTGTCCGTTTACCGTGGACGTGGACGTGAAGTTATGCTTTTGTGTATTTTCGTACATATTCGTATGTAACCGAAAATTGAATCGGTAATCTGCTAGTCTCAGGAATACTTTACTATATTACTGCGAAAATACCTTTTACGACAGTTGCGAGATCAAGAGTTGATCGGAACTGAATTGTGACCGAACTTTCATTACGAGAATTTGCCTTTTTGATCTGAAGTCTATGATTACAATTTTTATTAGTGATATGAAGTTATGTCGCTTTCTTACATAAAATTATTTATTTAAGTATTTATTTTTAATCAAAAATATAATCTATTCCATAATCTAATCTTTAGTTCTAGCGTGCACAATGGAAAGTCAAGGTTTTTGAGTAAAATATCTCGAGATGACATATTGGACATTCAGAAATTCAATTTTTTGCCTTTAAGAAAATGTTTTAGGGATCGGAATAAATGAAAATCCGAGGGTGCTATATCGGTCGAGTATGGCGGGTAAAGCAGTACCGCTCACCCCAATTCATTAATTTTTTTAAGTTTACCTTGCACAGTGCGTCGTTTTTCTCAATAAAATGACAATCAGATATTGTCATGTGCAGAAACGAAATTAGTTTCAGATTGCCGGGTCCCCTATTATGTGTTGTTATTAATGTGTATTACTGCATATATCTGTCTATTTTAAGATAAAAATTGAGTTGGTATTTAATTTCTTCTACCATTTCTTCCTTTATAGGGCACCTGACTCCTGCTTTCTTTGCTTCGTATGATTGGTTGACTGTTAGAGAATACCTTAGACATTACGTCCGATAATTTATTTATTTTATATGAATATAGATAAAAGAAATAAATAAATCAGGACGGTTTGTCTGTCACATATATTTATTGGTAGATACAAAGTGTTAGCGGGTGGCTCCTAGTTAGATCTATTGGTAGAATTTTATCGAAGTATCTTGACGCGGGGTGATATTTAGGTTTAAAATAAATAACGCCAAAATAACAAGAAATGACTTGTACTGTGCTTTCGATACAAATTTATCGTGATGAATAAGAGGGGTGACTTCAGTTATCACGATGCACGACGAAGCTGCAATTTAAAGCAATACCTGCGAGTGCTATAATTTTTTTAATAGGCGCTTTTCGAACAAATCTAGTGATGTGCCGAAGCGATAGAAATGTGTAACTGTGAATAGGAATACGGATAAGGTTCGAGTGCTAACTATTTCTCAATTTATGTCTGTAAGCGTTATTTTGAAACGACAGCTGACATTCAGGACTAAATAATATTTCATGTCTCGACTTCCACTTCCTTTCGAGATTTATGAAATAACTATTTTAACACAAATCACAAAGGTTTTTTTTTTTAGAATACAACAGCATTAGGAATATACCCTGTGTCGCGGGAGACTTTACAAACATACATGAAACGGACACAAAGAACACCCAGACTCAGAACAACAATTTGTGGATCACACAAAGTGTCGTCCCATGTGGGGATCGGACCCACAACTCAGTGTAGTACTAAGCGGCGTGGCGACCATTTAAACCACTACGCCATCCGTGCAGTTTGTAGTATTAGTTCCTTATAACTGTTCATACTTCTAGTAACACACAACTTTATTTATTTCTATGAATAATTTTAGCAAAATTCATATCTGTTTAAGATACACCAGAAAGTAACGGGATACTGATATCCGATACATGATTATTTGTATCTTCTCATCTTCTGTAACCGTAGATTACTTACATAAACTTTATCGCGAATGATCACATGTAAAATGTTTACACCAATCTGATCACTCTATGAAAGTAATCTTTACTAATATATTAGTGTGAAAGTGCGTTTACTAGCTTTTGTTTTTTAACTACTCGACCGATATTAAATAAATATCTTATATATATATATTTATTTAATATCGGTGGAGTAGTCGATCATCATGAAATTTCGTTCACATGTATTCAAAGATACAGAATAGAACATACCCTTCAGCCTAAAAAAAAAATTGTTAGGAAAGTGATTGAAAAACTAAATCCACGGGCAAATGCTAGTCGATAAATGTGGCGTAGGAAAACCGCCAACTGCTTTTTAAACGCAGGTTTGTCGCGTAGATTTGGTTTAACAACAGGTAAGGTATTAAATAAGTAAACATAATCTGTGCCCATTAAAGTTTTTATTTGTAACTTAACACGTATAAGACCTATGCAATGTCATCTACCCGCTATATTTACACAACACTGTACAGGGTGCTCGCGCACTAGTAAATGCTATGCGCGCACTTGGTAACCGACTACTTTGTAACTTGAATTGTTGTTCATTATGTAATCAATAAGCAGAACTATAAATGATTACTTTATGACAATATTTATTTATTCGCCTACATTGTAAACACTCAATTGTAAATTTATTGGAACTTGCGGTACTGCATATTATTAGCTATTATTATTATTAATTATTAGCAATTTTTAAACATCCAATGAAAAAACATATCCAATATAAATCTCTAAACAATCTCTAATTAAAGGTATTTAACATTTGATTATACATTCACACAAAAGTAATAAATTTATAAACTTTCGTGGTTCAAAACTTGGTGATGAACGCACACCAGTACCTTATATAATATTAACTTATTGATATTTTATTAAAATATTCATTCTTGTTAGGCATTAAAAAATCTAACTGTAAGATGATTACAAAATAGACAAATGGAACAAGGGCCTCGACTCTAGGCACATCCTAAGGCTCGAAGGACCAAGTGCGTCGCTACTCAAAACAAAATCACTTTAATACTAATAGTTGCAAGGCATCACCATAAGACACTGCGCCATACATTCCATTGTATAATACTCAAACACCAGCAATAGTCTTTTTAACATCGTTTAAGTACAATCCACAACCATCTGTATCAACAGTTGTGTCAATATAAAATGCATATTACTCTGAGGATAATTTTGAAACTGTTTTGTACAATTATCAAGGCGTCTTATTGTCAAAATATCACAATAGCACGTCGACCACGCTGCGGCAGTTCCTGCTCTTACAATAGTGACCTAATATATAACAGAAACAAATAGAGTATTGTATCATATCTACAATCCTGTGGCCGATCACGTCACCGTAGATCGTCACGGGCTACAATACACCCATAATAGCTGCCTCAACGCGAACACTTCGATTGCTTATACAAACGGAAGACAACAAATTTTTCATTTATAAAAAACACTTCATTAACTCTAAGCAACAATAATAAAATAAAACATTACTTTTAGAACAAAACTAAAACCAAAATGCTAGGATCAGTTGAGAGATTCCAACGGGACCGTTCATAAGTTAGTTATTATAATTAGAGAATGCTTCACTAGTGTGAACCGCTAACCGAATAAACTTAACAATACTGAGATTTAAACAATAACGGTGGTCAAACTGAATTTTTCACATCGATGGGGGCATTACACCTATGATTTTCAAAGTTGAATCGTAAAATAAATAGAACATTATCGAGGAACTTAACTTTGAACCTAAATTAGGGACAGTCTGTCTTCGCGAAGCGTTCACCATTCTACACTAAGAGTCACAGAGTACGTATTTACAGGAAGGAACAGTACACACATTATTATTTACAGGGTGTCACACGAGCTTGATCGTGGTCTCTGTGTTGTACTTGGCGAGGGTCTTCTTGACGCGGAGCGCCGTGAGCCGCACGGGCGGGTTGGCGTGCCAGCACTCCGACATCACGTTCACTAGCGTCGACAGCGGCTCCGCAGAGATCCAGCGCGCGGGAATCGGAGGGCGGATTCCTTTCGCCACGACGACTGCGTGCATGTCCTCGAAGGACGGATCGCTCGGCACGAACTCGTGGTACGGCAAGGCATATGCTTCTACAAACTGCGCCTTATCGCCTGTGGCGCATCGCCTGCACATCTCCCACAGCACTAGTCCTAGCGAGTACATATCGGCCATCTTGAATGCTTCAAAATTGCTCACGTCGAGGTTCTCGCTCAGGACCTCCGGTGCCATGTACCGACGGGTTCCGACCCTAGTATTAGGTGCGATGTCGACTTCATTCCGTTCGGCTACGTATCGCACTGCGAGACCGAAGTCGGCGATTGCACACTGCCCGTTTCGCTTTACAAGAATATTTTTACTTTTGATATCTCTATGAGCGATAGCTGGTTTACCCTTTGTGCCGAATATGTCCATGTGTAGATGTGCAAGGCCGCTAACAATCGAGTAAGCCATGGTCATGAGTCCATGTGTGTCCAGCACCACGGTTTGAAGATAGTCATGAAGGGATCCGTTCTCGTGATAGTCGGTGATGAGCAGCATCTGTGTCCATGATCCCGTGCCTTTGATGTCGGCAGCTATAAAGCCAAGGATATTTTCGTGGCGCATAAGTACGGTTTGGTAAATCTCAGTCTCGCGGAACCAGGAAGCTTCCTCAGTCGTGAAAAAGACTTTAACGGCGACGCGTTCACCTCGCCAGCGGGCCAGCCATACTTCACCGTATCGTCCCTTTCCGATTGACTCAACCATTTGAATTTGTTTAGCGACGGTACGTTGTACGAGGAGTGGCAGACCTGATCCGGATCCCGATGATACCTCAGCAGTATGCGGAGCGGGCGGTGACGGTGGACGTTTGCCAGCACGCCGCCGCCTTCTGAACAGTAATAGGAAAGCGGCGAGAAAAGCGACTAACGCGATGCAGAGTGCCGCGGCAACCAACAATGTAGGGGTATTAGTCCCTGATCCCCGAACTCCAGGTGTTTCTGTCACATCGAGGGACGGCTCCGCCAGTTGTGGTTGCAACCGCCTGTTGCACAGATCCGAGTCCATGCAACATTCTATAACTTTGGGGTGTTGATGTGGCACCTGGGAGCTTTTGCACTGGAAAGTAGAAAAAAAAGCTATGTTAGTGGTTATAGTAGAAGTTGCAATGGCCAGGTACCTAGATAAAGTGTTAACTTATGACATAGAAAGTTTTAGAGGCAAAGCTAAGGCTATTCCGACTGGACTAATTTACTATACACATAAGCTTAGTAATCATCGTCATCCTTTACTAGTCCACTGCTGGACATAGGCCTCTCCTTAGAAAGGAGCCAAATACCACGCTGGCCAGACGGGTTTGTATAGGGTTTGTTTCAAGTTTTCCTTCTCTTTGCAGTGCTGTTGTCCTGCGTAGTTCACTCCCTTAGTCGGCTCTTACGACACCCGCGGAATGAAAAGGGGTAGTGACACTGTATTCTTAATCTGTCACCACACGGACTACGGAAGCTTAGTAAACAATCAAGTTAAGTTCTTCGAATTCATGAAAATTTACAATGTACATATTTCATATTTGTATTAATTTGATAGTCATCAGAGATCGTATAACTGTACAATACAGTTATACGATCTCTGATGACTATTAGGAATAAAAATCTCAAAGTGCGGCTAATTTTATATTCAGATGTATTTACTTTATTTATTTATCCCTTTATTTTACACCACTTCAGTATTATTTGTACAGATATTATATACATTTTGGTATAATTTCATTTCAAGCTTTTTAATCACCAATAAATCGCATTGATGGCGTATACTCACTTGCATGAACCCCGACTCATCCGGTGGCAAACAACCGGCGGTTCTATCGATGACTACTCGGTAATTTTCATCTAAGACTTCTTCAACGGCGACAAAGCAGTACCCGCCCGGTTGAGTGAAGCACGTGCCATTGGCTGCTCCGTCGGGGCAGACGGTAGGGCCCAAGCACTCGCACACTAGGCCCCGAGCTGTAATACAAACAATACAAATTAATTATGCATGCTTCCTAGAAGAGGGCTGCATTCGCAGAGGGTAGGGTCTGTGAATGTCCATTGTTGAACTTTTTGTATTCAATCAAGTTTTTTGCTAGTATTTGAAATGCCATTATTACTTCATGTAAATTCTATGAAACGCTTAATGAAAATCCTAAACTAAAGAAACACACCGGGGACTTCTTATAGAGTTTAGAATAAGAAATAAAACCTATAACCTATGTTCTCCTATAATCAATAAAAACGTGTAAGGCACGTCTCGCCCTACAAAGTCTTAACAGATAACATGGCCGATGAAATAACAATTAAAAAGAAAGAATCAGTGATATCATTATCACGTAACGATTGTTTATAGATTAACAGCTAGGAATAACTCACGGGGACACGATAATATAAGTATACATTACTGAAACTGAAACAATCGATAAAGTTAATAACATGATGATGAAGCGAGAACTGCCGAAGCTTGAACCTAAAGGAAACATACCGTCAACGCTGAATCAAAGCATAAGTTCTCAGTTCGTTTGTATTTTTTATAATCGTTACCCCAAACTTATGATCCGATTTGGATAATTCTTTTTTTAATTGATAGGGTATAGTTTCCGTTTGGTCTCATTCAAATTTGCAGAGAAACACCAATCGGGTGGAAAATTAAAAATGAAGAAAAAGCAACGTTGAACAAAAAGATTTTGAAGGACTTATCTAAAAACTAATAAGAAAAGCTGAATTGTCACAAAACAACAATATAGAATCCACTTCCTAGTGCCAGAGTTCTTTATACAGCGTTCAGTGAAGCAACTATCAATTACCAAATATGCATCTGTTCAAAGATTACAATCATTGCTGATATAACAAGGCTATAAAAAGAACAGCATCGATGCATTGGCGTGATAGGATATACCTAATACGCCTCAGTGGCGTGAAACGTGAATTTTTAATTAGTTTTCATTACACTAAGTGGCAGTTTTTGTAATATACCTTTACTTAGACTATATTTCGATATGGTAAACAATGTTACGGTTTCTACTAATCTGAATTATTTTACATATTTGGTATTTTACGTTCTAATAAATGCTAAATGTTAGGTGTGGCTGTCATTCCAGGTTTTCGTAATCGATAGTTCTGGGCCTCAATTCTGCAATTTTATGTTCACCCCAAGCCACTGTCATACCACTGACACGCTATTGAGATGCCATCGAGTGGCCATTGGCATCGGTATAAATATTATTATTATAATTTGAAAATATATTACGTTTTTTGAGGAAATGATTTATTCATTTTTCCAAATATGGCAATCTTTTTGATATCACCATTGATGAGCCACTGCCATTCCATCGCCACTGTAAAGACACTGAGTTAGTGTAGACTACCGATATTTATACCGATGCCAATGGCCACTCGATGGCATCTCAATAGCGTGTCAGTGGTACGACGGCGGCTTGGCGTGAACATAAAATAGCAGAATTGAGGCCCTGGTCATTCGTTTCGATATATCTATTACACATTCACAATCATATTAATTGTTAGAATAAACAAATAATTTAGCAAATTTGTGTGGAAATTTTGTCCGCATGCTACGTAGTTGATGCGATTATCTTCTTTTTATGATAGATTATATTATTATGTAGATTCGAAAAGCTTTTTGTTGATTTTATCCAGACCAAGACTGCACTGATAGCATAGTTGTTTAAGCGGGCGCCACGTCGCTTACTACTACGCTGAGTGTTGTGGGTCCGATCCCCACATGGGACGACACTTTGTGTGATCCACAAATTGTTGTTCTGAGTCTAGATGTTCTTTGTGTCCGTTTCATGTATGTTTGTAAAATCCCCTGCGACACAGGATTTATTCCTGGTGCGGGAGGTGTCTTTTAAAAAGAACAATATATATATGTTTCTTGATCCTACAGTTAATACACACTAATCTTTTTGTCTGCCAGAAAAAATCATAGACTTAGACATCAGATTACTTCATTTTCTAAAGATTCCCATGAATATATTTAGTTCGTGAAATGCCATTTTAATATATGAAATATTAGCTGACGCGGCGAATTTATTACCGCCTTAGAATTACTAAATTAGGCGACTAATTTGGTGAAATACCGACAACTGTATCACCTACTGGGTCCAATTGTGTTTTTAAACCATCCAGGAACTCATTGGACATCCAGGAACTCATTGGACATTCAGGAACTCATGATACATCCAAAATTTCATCCAAATTGGTCCAGCCGTTTAGGAGGTGTTAGGATACAAACACACGTACAGAAGAATTACATAATTATATATATTAAGGTATGCAGCACCTGAGAATTTTTTTTATTCATGAATATCATATTTTAAAACTTATTATCCTATTCCGGATGAAGACAAATCCAAAAACATAAAAATCATAAAAATTGTTTCAGCCGTTTTTGAGTTATAAATGGTGTAACGAACACAACTTGTTTTATATAGTTAGATTTGCTATCTACTGTTACCGTTTGTGTTAGCATGTGGACACTATAATATCATAAGAGGTTATGGTAATTTTAAGAGTATTAAACATTCAATGCTATATGATATGGAATACTATATCTTTTTTTGCCACATGCAACAGGTAATCTTCGGTCGATACCCGACGCGCTTGGAGGGTTACGACGTCCTAAGCACAATAAAAGCAGGTAAGAGTAAACATATTGTTAGGGGATAGTCTAAAGGTTTATGGGTATAGTAAATGGGAAGGGAAATATTTAACTACAGATTTGGAATAAAGTTAGGATTTCCATAAATCTTGACTACGCCAAACAAGTAATCGATAAATCGTTACACAGATAGTTATTAGCATAACTCGGAAGCAATAAAGCTTCAGTTAATTATATAGTTGGCTAGGAACTAGCAAAGAAATCTGAGACCTGAGTTCATGCAATTACACACACTAGAAGCAATAATATATTGACTGTGAATCAACTTGTCCGTGAATGACTTACACAAACATTTGTACTTGTAACACAAACAGTTAGTGATCTCAAACTGATCCTTGGACAGTATTTACATAGATGAACACATAATCACAAACTGTAATTACGAACGAATATTACAGATGAAGAAATCGTAAACATAAATACAACAAAGACAGGAAACAATGAATAATTCAATATCCACATCCTTAAGTCCTATGCAATCCGTTCAGAAGCGGAAACTAAATCACGTCTAGATCACAACTACAACTTCAAGCCTGCTGACACTTTTGTACAGAACAAACATATAAGCAAAGGAGTCATCTTCAGGTGTAATGAGAACTATAGTCGTGGACCACTTGCAAGACACATAATACTGAAATCTGCAGAATCAACTGTAACACGGATTTATGATCTGTTTAAGGTGTTTCACGTACGTCGCTTCATGTCGTCGTTGGAAAGCGTTCGAGGCTAGTCCGGCCCTGCGTCCTCGCTATCATTTAAATATAACTTGGGACGCCGTCGTCTGTCGCCGGCTTTATTTTTACACCACCGAGATTATATGTGGCAAGTCACACTGCACGCTGTCTCACAGGAGACGGTGATGGTTCGCGCGCGATACACAACCGGTCGCACAATAACACTGAGTAAAATTAACGGCACGTATCGCTCGAGCGACGCCCACGGCGCGAATGACGGGCGGAGCGCGAGCGGCGTCCCCCTGGGGCGGAGGCCCCGCACCGCGCCCCCACTCCGTGCAGTATGCACCGCTGCACAGCCTCCACATGGCTCTGGAGATAACGTGAGCAGCGAGCCGCGATCACGCAACACTCATCATAGATATATAAATGTGGCGCGCGATGCGATTCATTGACGCCAACTGTTTATTATGATGTACTCGTAAACATATTAACTATACCACAACTAATAGATTAAGCAACAATAATAAACTTACTGTTTAACACGAGGCAATAATTGGACAGCCAAATAAGATAACGAACGTAACTAAAGAAGGAACAATGTTTCTTGTGAAGAACACAATTATGCTTTATTTAAATTTTGGGGAAAATTACACTGGGCAAAAACAATTTAGATAAAATATTACAAGAACAAGAGGTGTCTTGTAGTAATCGGGACGGTCGACACAACACAAATCAAGTATGTAAATTTAGCGAAAGTCATAAATTTAGTAGCAGTTCTCGCGATCCAACATCTGACAGAAGCGGATGCTTTTTATAGTTTACGATCAGTATTAATCCTCTTACTTCCACATGTTATTAGGGGCATACGCAATAAAACCTTACTGCGCTAACTAATCAGAACGCTATCAATGTGTAGCTTTTATACCGCCTGATGTTGTGTTTCCTTCCATGTTTTACTTTGTCGTCGTTACGAATTAGAAGCGAGACTTTAGCACCAGACGTGACGACATTCATTTGTATTTGTGGGATGAGTGTGTTGCTGTCCTCTATAGCGACAGATTTGGTTGTGCCAATGTTATCTCGAATCGCAAAAGCAACGATTTTGTTACTCTGTCGCCATATCGGCATGTGCTTTACTAACGTCACTCTCTGCACTCGACACTCAAGTTTGTTTCAGCCATTTATCAACTAGTTATATTAATGGATTTCAAGGATGTATTCAAACACGAGTCATACTCAACAGAGGGGCATCGGGCACGTGTCGATTGCCAAATTGTATGCAAATTACTGTTATGAATTCAAATTACAAACGTAAAGTACCGACACTATTGTTCTCTTGTCCGTCGGTGATATCAATTTGCAAATAATCAACGCTATTAGGCTAATATGGACCACGAATAGGATGTTAATGGTATATTATTGGACCAAATACCTTGGTTATATTCGGTCTGAGTACGTCCCGTGTGTCAGTAACTACTTTGTATGTGTGTTTGCAGTAGGAAATTTGATGGTGTCAAACAAACAAGCAATCAGAAGCTCATCAACAGTGTTGCCGATGAGTACATAAATCATGGGTCAGTCAATAGAAAACCACTTTCACGATGTTTTATTGATAGTATTGCGAATAGGTGGCCTCGTCTTTTTTATGCACGTGCAAAACTTGTTACTTAGATTTGGAAAACGGAGCAGATGTTTCTCGTATCGGTTAATGTACACGAGAATGAATCGCCACTGGGAGTGCTGCAATGGCAAGAATCGAATAAATCGATTTATTAAAGATACAAGTAAAAGGGGCCATCGATCAAGATGATTTTGATAGAACGTTGGTTTGCATTATCTTGTTGAAGATATGAATGAAGTCGACTTCTGTTCTACCAACCAATCCAATTTCAATTGAAAAGCCAAGACATAATGAGATCGGATAGATAGTGAAAATGAATAGTAAAAGGGTAATTAAAACAAACAATGCTTTTGCACATGAGCTACACCCCCCGGTTATCAGACAAACACTTCTGTCGTGACTGTTCCAAATGGCATTCGTTTCCGATCATGCTCTACCGGGGCAAGAGGTCATCAACGTACAGCGCGCAAGCGCCGGCGATCTAGCGACCTCTAGGATTATCCAACTCGATCGATAAGGTCCCGAGGGGCTTGCGCGGGGCACGCGGCGCGTGATACGGGCCAAAGAACATAATTTATTCGGCGGCAGAGTGGCGCGCCTCGGAGGTGCCGCGGACCGCTCCCGCCCCCCGTCGCACATCTCCTGCCCATCTCTTTCTAAACAGGATCCCATCACTGTTTTTTGTGTGCCGGGGTTTAAGGAGTATCGGATTTAAATGCAGGTTACGTAATAGTTTTTACACACCCTTAATCTTGAGCGCGGGGACGCGGCCGAGTTTGAATCGTTTTTTTGTGTACATTGTGCATATTTTACGGCGCTAGTGTGTTTGTACACCACCTGTTTACGACATAGTTTAGTCCATTTACGCGATAAGAGCATAACAGGGACAATATTTGCGCGTGCGCATATCACTCGCTCGTTACTACATCGTACATCAGTAAATGAGTCCCCTTATTTATTTCGAAGAAAAAATTTGTTAGGTTGCTTTTAAAACGAGTCGTGGGCAAGTATACTCTGCTCTGTTGTAATAAAATAAGTTTAGAAATGAGACAACATAAACGATTTATTGAGTAAATGTGGGCGGAAAAGCGGAAGAGGAGTGTTGTAAAGTTTTAATTATCTAGTTGATCACCATATTCAAGTGGTATTCGGAATTGTGTGTTGGTTGAAATAAACATAGAAGAATTTTAAATATGCATATTTTCTCCTAAATATCAACAAAGCATTAGTTTTTTCAAAGACATTTACATAAAGTTGATGTATAACTTCAATAGGCAACAATTTCTAAATTGTTATGGAATCAGAGTGGACTTAATAGTGCATGAAATCGTCTTTAATCAATAACTATAGTAGCAAATCGATATTATTAGTATACAGACATATTTGTGCATAATAACTGTATTTTTATATTTAAAAACTGTTTACGACTAATACCACGTAAGAAACAGTAATCAGTAGTATTATTTAGATTTTTTTATTTAAATTTCATACGCCTAATAAGTAGTGGATATGGAGGGCATCGCTGGGTAACATGATTGCCGCCATGGTACGGAGCGAGAGTTCGTGGAACACCGCAGTCTCCTTCTGCGAGCAAGTTATGCTTGCAAAGGAGATGGCGGAGCGGGACCGGGAGAGGTTAAGAAGTCTCCCGGTGCGCCAGGCCGACTCAGGCGACTCAGACCCGAGACGGCGGGCGGTTTTTGGTCGGTTCGAGTCCGACCTTAATTCCTTACCATGTACCACTTACCACACAAGTGTCTTACCATCCATAATTATAAGAAGGATTCCGGTAACAGCACTCATTAGGAGAAAAGCTAAGAAAGAATTGATTATTGATGGTTTTCTGTGTGATCACTCCGTCGAGTCGGCACATATCTGCCAAAATATGGTTTCCCTACGGTATAGCTCTGTGTGATGACGGATTAAGAATACGGAGTGTCACCATCCCTGTTCATCCCGTGGTCGGCGTAAGGGAGCAAACTACGTACAACAACAGTACTGCAAAGAGAAGGAAAATTTGAAACAAACCCTATACCAACCCGTCTGGCCAGCTTGGTACAGTAGACCAAAACCTCCTTTCTTAGGAGAGGCCTATGTCCAACATTGGACTATTAAAGTCTGTTGATGATGGTTTAGCTAGTTAAGTTATTTATCTCAGAGTAGATGACGAACTAACCGACAACATACAGTTCACCGAGAGCCTAATATTGTAAAATCAATATTTACAAAAAATAAACCACAGTGAAGTGTTATCTTCGTACCTGACGTGAGAATTACTTAGTACATTTCTTTATCGTTGTCGTGGGTTAAATAACCTGCAGTGTTGAGATAAGATGCGAAATTACCACGAACGTACTACCTTTTACAGGTAAATATTTTTCTAGTGTAATCGAACGTCTTACAGTGTTTCATTTTTCTAGCAATACTGGGAAGCAAGTTTAATTTTTGATGTGTAACATCTAATGCAGGTCAGACCGGCAATAGCCGTGGCGACGCGTCACTACGATATGCGTCGCCACCTATGTGTAAAATGTGTCCTCTCGATTCTCTGCAAACTGTTGGCATATATTGGATTTCTAGTCACAACAAAACAAAATTATTGAAGAATAAAAACGCCGCTAAACGTAAACGTAACTTTTTATTTATAATCTATATATATAAAATAACAGCAACCATTTCTATTTCGATTGCTACACCTTACTTAGGTACATTACGTTTCCGCCAATACCAACAATTAGACTTTAGATAGTAACAAATTGACTACAAATGAAATCTAACAGAATTAGTAATAGACATTTTACTAAGTAGGTTAATGTTAGCCTATTTGTATTAACAGTGGCAGATTTGAATAATTTTACTCTCTAAAAAGCAGGTTTGATTATTGAAGTGGAAAAAAGAGTAATACAGACTCAAATGAAATAAATGTTATATATTAAACACGATTACATTTTACGATTTCCTTTCTATGCAATTACTTGCATTTAAAATATACGAGTATACATATAAAATATTTCATCGTAGGAGTGCCATGCTATCGTACAAATGGGTATTGACCGGAGTGATACGAAAACTGGTCGCAGAAACGTACAAATGGTCCGGTTCGACCGGAGTAATACGAAAACCGGTCACAGAAACCGTACAAATGGTCCCCGGCTCGACCGGAGTGATACGAAAACTGGTCACAGAAACGTACAAATGGGCCGACTCGACCGGAGTGATACGACGGCGTCACAGAAAACCGGAGTTAAATAATTTTTTCGTTGCTTTTCAACGCGTGAGTAAGGTAACCGGAGACCTAAACCTCCCCAAACCATCAAGAGTGCTATTCTCTAAGGAAACAACCTTGCGTACAGCGCTGCCACAGTGTCGGTTTGCAGTCGAATAGCACTGCAGGTGATGTTAGCTCGTTTGGTCCCATACCATAAAAAATGTCTGTGTGTTACTTTTACTGTTCTAGTTGTTTGTGTGCCTGTTTCTCATCGCGTCTAGATAGCGCTGTGTAACATGTCCCAGAATATTATTTTTGATTTATAGCCTTTAAAAGTACTACGCATCTAAAATTAGACTGTAAAGTATTGAAACGCTAATCAACAATTAGGTACCTTAACGTTAACGATAAGATACCGATAGAAAAATACTAGTACGGCGTAGTATCATGACTTAGACAACGTGACCATAAACACGGATTGTCCACTACGTTGATTTTTATTTATTTGTAACAGATTCGTGTGGAAAGTGTATTGTAATTTTTTTTTTATGGTATAAGGGGGCAGCAGACGGGTCACCTGATGGTAAGCAACTACCGCCGCCCATGGACACCTGCAACTCAAAAGTCACAAGTGTGTTGCCGCCCTCGAGCTCAGCGAAAGGGGAGATTTGGGCTCCGGTGACCTCACTCACACAGTGAAAGGCAACGAAAGAACTGCTTAACACCGGTTTTCTGTGAGGCTGTGTTATCACTCCGGTCGAGCCGGCCCATTCGTGCCTAAGCATGGCTCTCCCACGGTAAAATAAAAATCCTCGATACTTTGCCTTTTGTTTGAGACTCTTCATCCTTCATCAGCATCATTCTCTGAGTCTTTTCCTAACTAGGTTAGGGTCGGCTTTTAGTCAACTACACCACGGTTGGACTTCGTTTTTTTTTGGTGGAATGACTGTCACTGATTACGGACGTCCGAAGGAAAAAAATATTTTACTTTATGTGTATATAATAGATCATAAACGAGCCAAGCCCGCTAAGACATTAACGATTATAATTGGAATTGCCGCAATGAATATTTGCAAACTGTCAAATATAAAATTATTAAGATTGGACCGAACATTTAGTATTGGACAAAGTAATTTATTGACGAATCAAATATTAATGTACGAATGCAAATATAATAACAAATTAAACACGACTATCTGTTATACGTTGTCAACGTAAATACGCTGTATGGGTAATTTGCGCGACGGGCAGTATGGCGACTAGGTACATTTATATGTTGATTGATCTCAACTGAATATTCATGCTCGGACACAGGGTGCAAGTACCTAGGTAATGTCGTTTTCTGTGCGCGGCCCACTCGATTAACCGAGGACCGTTACCCCGACGTAAAGCGGTCACATCGCACCTGATACCCTACGATAAAGTGCTCGTATAACTTTATAAATGTCCACTTTATGTAGATATAGCAGTAGAAACTAAATATATGTCACGATAACGTAAATATCGCCACGGACCAATAAAACTGTCATATCCCGAGGTTGTCGGATCTCACACCTTATTTCTGTTCAAACATACAAAAATAGACGCGTGAATAACCGTGTTTTGTGACAGTTGTGCAACAAAGGCCATAGGTCCGACTGCGTGAGAGTGTAAACGCGATATAGTCTGTGATATCCCGACGCGCTGTTCTAATAACGAATCTATCAAAACAACAACATATTGGTACGTTACTGTTTGTAGTGAATGGACGCCGTTTTATGTAATACTTATATACATTATACATCAGACAGTCAATTGTCAACGCTCTCGACTCGCTGATCGATAACAGTTATTGATACCAGTTACGAATATCACTGTGTAAACTTTTCACAATAACGTTTCACGATTTCCAGACAGATAGCGCGACCTAAATATTTCACATTAACGAAGAATTATAAAATATAATAGCGATAATTAGAATTCTAGGGCAAACAAACAATTTTTATAATCATTTTGATAATCCTAATAGCTAGAGGCGCGGCCATTATCACTGTTAAGAGAATTTTATCAGCACTTGATGTACGAGTACAATTTTATATTTGTCATATCAAACTTGGTCGGTAGTTGTATAATCGTCACACGTCGTGCATGATAAACTGACGACAAAACACGAGGATCGGTTAAAGAATACTACGCAGTATTATTTCAGGTGATACAATATCTAAAGGTATTGAGTACAAAATAAACGTAATTTGCTTTCGTATACCAAGATATTACTATAACGGATTACGAGGGCGACAACTGAAACAAACGTATACAAATCGTCTTGACAATAACAGATGTAATTAATGATCTGTCAATGAATGTTGAGATGGATGAAGAGATAACGGTTTAAAAGTACAAATTGGATGGTGGGCGATACTTGGACAAATAAACACAGATTGAACGTCACTCGCGTGTCAATTGTGTTGTGCGATTGACAATT